AGCAGCACAACACAGCATACGTATATGTATTACACTTGCGAGCTCAAAACGACTACAGGGCTCATGGCAATACATATTGCTCTTTATTTGTTTTGCTCAAATTGGACTTGAGATATGGATGGTCAGTTTTTTTGTCAAAACCAAATTTCTCCACAACTCGAAATGCCCTAAATTACAATTAATTTTCAGTTTGCGTGAGTTTTTGAGGTTGCAATAACACATAGAGATGAAATTTCGGAAGTTCAAAAAAATAATTGAATTTGTACGTGCAAACTGCAAAGTACTTATTATGCGAGCTGGTAACTTGAGACAAACTCCATTAGTACGTCTTAAGTACAAAGCAAAAAAAAAAAAAAAAAAAATAAAAATTTTGGAAGCACCTTGTCCATGAAGGCCAAATTACTAACTCGTTTTGATCCCTCCTTGTCATAAAAACAACAAAAAAATAAAAGTTTAAATGTATAATTTAAAAATTATACTAACAACTTCTTCTTCTTCTTCTTCTTCTTCTTCTTCTTCTTCTTCTTCACTTTTGTTTGTATGACTTTTTTTTTATGTATATAAATAAGTCTTTATGACGTTAACTAGACAGGTTATAAGATATGACGTTATCCATACAGGTTAATTAGACTTTTAATTATCAATGAAATTAATTTAATCAATAGAGAATAAATTGCAAGCTTCGTTCACATACTCTTTTTAATCGTGGGCCTCGTGATATAGAATGTCACAAACTCAGAAACGTCGTAGTAGAGCAGTCAATCAGAAGGTGAAGTCAATTTTTTTTTTTTTTTGGCATTATCGATACAACTGATTAAGAATTTACTTTCAAACGTGAAGAAAACTTTTGGTTAATCTACTTTATTTCATTTTTGTGAAAACAATACTCAGACATGTTGGTGACACACGTGTTCCCCCATCTTGCACTAACTCCTTCGATTGCTTTTTGTAGTGGTCTTTGTGGACTTGGCATATGAAATCCATATTCAAATTGTTGGAATTAGACCAAATTAATTAGTTCAAATAGTTAAATTGGCCTCTTAGTGAAGTAAAATAATAATACAATAAATTAGACTATGTTATTGAAACTGAAAAATACTAAATTTCTTTATGAATAATGATAATTAAAGGCAAAAATGACAAAGAATTTTTTATAGTCATTTGTTTTTAACATTTTCCATTTAAAGTTTAAGCATTTAAGGTTATAATATAGTTTAGATGATTAACAAATCATTCTTTGTAAGTTTTTTTTTATAATTTTCCCTTTTATGTATCACTACTTTTTTTTTATATGTACTCTGTATTATTCAATTTTGACAACGTTAAACATTCGCCTTACAGTTTTATGAGCGCGTTGATGAGGTGGATAGCTAGGCAAATTTATTTTCTATAATGGACCAAAATAAAAGTGTCCAAAAAAAATTGAGGGGTGAAAGGATTATAACCTTGCCCATTGGACTTGCATTCACTGGATTAGTCCAAAGACACCCACAAGCGATTCTCCCCGGTGGGTTTACAACTCTCTGATTATACTGTTGAGTCAGTACAAACTTGCACCGAGTAATGCTCCTTAGTGGCTACCACAAGCCACACTCCAGTGATTTTTCAAAATAAAATCACCACATGCTAATCATATACTCAGAATGCTCTAATATCATGTTAAAATAACATTAATCACTCATGTCAAAAGCAATTGATAATGAGCGGACGGTGAATGAGTAATGCTCCTTAGTGGCTACTACAAGCCACACTCCAGTGATTTTTCAAAATAAAATCACCACATGCTAATCATATACTCAGAATGCTCTAATATCATGTCAAAATAACATTAGTCACTCATGTCAAAAGCAATTGATAATGAGCGGATGGTGAATGAGTCGTTGACACTACCAAAAGAAATAAATACATACTTAAAACTATTAGCTAGTGGTAAGTAGTGTCGTTCCACAAATACGGCAGTTAACCGCTTAAAAACTGATTATTGTGCGAACAAGAAAAATAAGCTGAACAGATTTGTCATTTTGGAGATTGTGAATAGTGACTTGACAGAGTGAAGAGCAGAAAAGACTAATCACCTTTCTATCTATATGGTCCAGTTTCTATTCATTTTAGTTTTTGTTGCATATGATTTATTATTTGACCAAGTACTTGTATTTTTTATAATTCCTCTCATACAGAATAAAGAGTCTTAGATTAGCTAAATTACCTACCTCTCAGAGTAATTCATTAATCTAAGCCATTGAGTTCTTAAGCCCTATTGATCAGCTATGCCAATGCACCTAACTCTCGTTGATGATTGAAACCAAAGGGTAGATTTCCTCCTTTATCATAGATTAGTTTAAGCAGTTCTAAAGTTATGTTCCCCCTCTCAGATCTCCATAACAATGCATGCGCAATAAATTAAATTACAAGTTTAATTAAAAGGTCCATTTAATCACTTAACTAGAAATAATGCCTCATATAAGAAAGTGAATCAAAACTTTCACATATAAATAGCAGGGATTAGACCATTAACTAAGTTTAGCTACTCATGTTTATTGAGTCAAACATGAGAGCCACAAAGTACAAAGGATCAGCCATGATTAAGATCAAAAGGTTAGAGAATAGAAGGGAAAATTCAATATTTGCATGCACAATAAATACCTACTTAAAACTATTAGCTAGGGGTAAGCAGTGTCGTTCCATAAATACGGCAGTTAATCACTTAAAATATGATTATTGTGCGAACAAGAAAAATAAGCTGAATAGATTTGTCATTTAGGAGATTGAGAATAGTCACTTGACAGAGTGAAGAGTAGAAAGGGCTAATCACCTTCCTATCTATATGATCCAGTTTCTATTCATCTTAGTTTTTGTTGTATATGATTTATTGTTTGACCAGGCACTTGTATTCTTTATAATTCCTCTCAGACAGAATAAAGAGTCTTAGATTAGCTAAATTACCTACTTCTCAGTCAGCGTAATTCATTAATCTAAGCCATTGAGTTCTTTAGCCATATTGATCAGCTATGCCATTATACCTAACTCTCGTTGACGATTGAAACCAAAGGGTAGGTTTCCTCCTTTGTCATAGACTAGTTTAAGCAGTTCTAAAGTTATGTTCCCCTTCTCAGATCTCCATAACTATGCATGCACAATAAATTAAATGACCAGTTTAATTAAAAGGTTCATTTAATCACTTAACTAGAAACAATGCCTCATATAAGAAACTGAATCAAAACTTTCACATATAAATAGTAGGAGTTAGACCCTTAACTAAGTTTTGCTACTCATGCTTATTGAGTTAAACATGAGAGCAACAAAGTACAAAAGATTAACCATGATTAAGATCAAAAGGTTATAGGATAGAAGGGAAAAGTGGTAGTAGGGCAGATTATGTCTACTCTCTTTGGTGAGTGGCATTCGCCACTTGACAGAGTGACAGTCTACACTCTTTGCTCCTGCTACTGCCCTATTTCTACCCAAATAACTTAACTAAATAAACTGTCTTTAGACTGATTCTAACTACCCAATATATTATTTTTCTAACTGTTATTGGCTGAGTATTTATAGAGATTTGGAGAGTCTTGGATTGGTTGAAATCTGGCCTTCTTCTCCGCAGCAGAAAGGTGAGGCAGCAACTTGCAGCTGTTGAGATTTGTTTATTCAGCAACTTGTCTTCCTCTTTGGTTGCTCCTTCACTTCAGCCGTAATCAACTACCTTCCTCTCATCATTGCCTTCTCTTCTTAGTCTTCTTCTTCGACTCAACTTCTCCAATTTCTAGCCACAATTCTTTATTTCTTCATTCTTTAAAATGGTATATATTTTAGTGTTATCAGTGGGGTGGATCAATGAACTTATAGATTCACTTCTCTCCATGCGGGCTTGTGAATCTCACATCACCGTCGTGAAAATTCTGTCACATGTTTATGAGTTTCTTGAGCTACCTCATTCAATCTCAATTAATTTTGAGATGAGAGTTCGGGCTTAATGTGACTTTGACAAAAAAAAAAAAAAAAGAGAGAAAGTAATATACTCATTCGATATTTAGGAACCAACAACGTTAAACAATTTTTGTATGTTAAACATCATTTCCTAGAAGAGTTAGTATGTAATTGACTTGAGTTAAATTTCGTTAGCAAAATCGGTCCAAAAGTTTAAGATTAATGTAAAGGACAAGACCTCACGTTATTTTAAAATAGTTAAGGGGCACATGAAATTTTAGGCAAAGGCCAAATTAAATGGAACACTTTACTCATTTAATAAAATATCATTGATAATTGGAAGCAAAAGGAAACAATAACAAACTCAGATCCGCAGAATGTATTATTCCAGTTTCCCATCTCAATTCATTTGCATGTCGAAAAAACAATGGGATCCGACAAGTGCAAATTCATATGCTAAAGGCAACAGTTAAATGGGAGTGGAGATAAGGTTCAATCAAAATGGAACAAAAAGTTTCACATGATTGGAACATTATGTTTGTACTCTCACATCTTCCAATTAAGCTACTTTCTTACTTCCAAAGAAAAGTTTTACTATTTATTTATATTACATTACATATCATGCATCATACTGAGTTTCTTTCCGTATCAAAGTAGCAGTCTTTTTATTAAAATAAAATAGAAAAATTTTAAAAGGTGTGACTAGTAAATATGATGAGCAGTAAAAAAGTATATGCAACTGAGAAATGAAAATATAAATGGAAGAAAATTTAATGAATAAACATTTCACCATCACACAAAAAATAATTCGAACAAGATAACGAAACTAAATAAGGTATTTCGAGCGTTGTACCTTTCAAAATATGCTAATGTATGTGTCTTATTATGGAACGAGGGAGTATATATCTAAATTTTATTTTTTTAAAAAAAAAAAAAGAGAATTGAAAAGGACTTTGAATTTGGTACGAGTCATATACTACTACTATATATTATCAGTATGGAAGAAGTGGGTAGATACGTATGTGCACATATATATACACTTTCCAATATTTTATTCTAATTTATTTTTCCCCCCAATGTCTTTTATTCTAACACGCATTAGCTTCTGTTTCGCTGCTTTGCTTATAAATAGCTCCCTATGTCACATGTTGCATGAAAGAGAGGAAACGACTTCCTTACTTAATTTCAACAGCAAACTCAGTATATATTAAATCTTTCAATTTCAGAAAAACGTCTTAAAACACTCCATTTTCAGAGTGTGTTTTGGGAAGGAAAAAATAAAAGAAAGAAAAGGGAATGGAGTGGAGACAATGCTATCTGGATGTCATTCTTGTACCATTGGGATTCCTAGTTTCCGTTGGGTACCATTTTTGGCTATGGAGGAAGGTTCGAACTGATCCTCTCACCACCATCATCGGAACTAATGCCACCGGCCGTCGGTTGTGGGTTCAGGCCATGATGAAGGTACCTATACATTTTTCTACTACTATTTTCGTTCTCGCTTTTAATCGTGTCCAGTAACCGGAAAAAAAAAAAAAAGAAAATATTTCTTCACATAATAATCGTACATAAGACTCTCCTTGGTTAGAACTTCAGGAAACTGTATCATTTCCGCTAACAAGTTCTAGTAAAGTGAAAATCTGCATAATTATTCAAAAAAAAAAAAAACTATTGGGTTTAGTATTTTTGAATTTTTATTTGGAAAAGAATACATTATGATCGTCAAGTAACGTAAAGGGCTCTTCTTTTATGATCAGTTAAAGTCATGATCATGAACGAAATTTGCATTTCACTAATTAATTGAACTACGAGAAGCGTGACTTGTACCACTACACCAAATTGCGCAATGGAAGTATATTCTCGAGAAAATCATGATCATCCAAGACCTTTTTTTTTTTGTCCCCTCTTTTCTGATTATCAATTCTAGGATTGTTTTGTTTTACATGTACAATAATGACTTAATTAGTCTACTTTTTGTGGATGATCAAAACTTTAAAAACTGAGTTTGCTTTATTTAGTGGTGTCATATCTTATATTGAGGAATATGGGATGTGGCCATAATTGCACTAAAGGAAACTTGTCATTAAAATTTCGCTTGCATCCTCGTCAAAAAAAAAACTTGTGATTTCTTGTGGGCTGCTGCTATCAACTTATCATCATAAAGCAAACAATTATGATGTAATACATTATTATATTTCTAATTAAATTACTATATATATAATGAACAAAAAAAGAAGCCTAAAAGTTTTTGTCCAATTAGAGTTATTACTAATTTGGGAGTTTGCGGTTTTTCTTGGTATAACTCCCATTTCTGAAGAAGTTTCCGGCCTGTACCCATAAAAAGATAAATTAATATTGCTTCCCTTTGTAGAGAGATACAGGTCATTCAACTACGTACTATACCAAAATGCTTTCTTTCTGATTCATATGACTAATACTCATTAAAGGCAATTCCCTGAGGAAGTAATATACAAGAAGATTCAAATCAACAAGAAAGGGACTTGTCCATACGGTTACGAAGTTGTCCTTAGCGTTTAGGCAACTCTTAACTCATTACTCATTAGTTGAGGAATTTCATCAACAATCGCATGAGAGACTAAATATTATACGGGTCTCATTGGTGAACGCATAATTCGTCAAAATTAGAACATAGGTAGATATTTGAATAGTATTTTTTTTTTCAAATAATATGACATGAGTAATAGTAAAATAGATCTTGTCTGAAATTAAAGTTATGACTTATTAGTTATTATGGTAATTTTGGAGTTCCCTACCGAAAAAAGAAGAAAAAAAGCTTTAAGACAACTATAAAGTGTACTACTATATGACCTCTTGACTCTATTATTGTAAACAAAATATATATTCCAAATTGTTACAAAGTTTGAGAATCTTGTGTTAGGTGTACCAATATTCAAGTTAAACTTTCCTAAAACAAACTAATGCACCTTTACATTTAATCTTTTTCATATAAATAGAAAGCAAAACAAAAACAGAGGTTTGATTGTGGATTCTGAATGTGTCTCCATTTTTTTTCTTTTTTAGAAAAAAGTTTAAGCACTCCGGAGGATTCCATTTTGTTCTCCATCGTGGTAGCCATTGTTTATAAATAAACCAACAGCTTCTTGAGGTTGTCAACATCATAGTTTCTGCAGAATTTAGGACTTTTTCTTTTTAAGCCGAAATCGGGAATATGTATCGGAATATTCCATATATCTCACTTTTTTGAGATAGTGAATTGTTTTCTTGTTCATCAAATGACGATGTAATTGCATTAAATTTTTTCCCCAAAAAAAAAAAGTATTTGACCTTCTAGGTTACTTAGAGTATGTACAAGTCAATAGCTAACAAACAATATGATATCGTTTCATTAAATTATCGGTGAAGTGTTTTACATTAAATTAACAAAATACTCGTAGTCTTTAAAGTATTATACTACATTGAAACTCCGAGTTATTAGTAATAGTTTAATAGTGTATAAAGTTTCCGTTTCATCGCACTCGTAGTCAGTTGGTTTTCAGTCTGTGTATTACTAAACAAGAGGTGTTTTTTTTTTTTTTTTTTTTTTTAGTATGAAAAAGGAAAGTTGAACTTTCCGTTTTAAGAAGGACACGAATAGTGGAAATCTGACCACCAAATTTATTTAAATCTTGTAGGATAATGACAAGAAAAACATATTGGCAGTCCAGACGCTGAGGAATTCCATAATGGGATCAACCCTAATGGCCACAACTTCCATCCTCCTATGCTCCGGCCTCGCTGCCGTCATCAGCAGCACCTACAGCGTCAAGAAACCCATAAACGACTCCGTTTTCGGCGCCCACGGGGAGTTCATGGTGGCGCTCAAATACGTCACCGTACTGCTCATCTTCTTGTTCTCGTTCATTTGTCATTCCCTCTCCATTAGGTTCATCAACCAGGTGAACTTCCTGGTCAACTGCCCGCAAGACCAGACCGGGATCGTCACCCCTGATTACGTATCGGAGCTTCTCGAAAAGGGGTTCGTGTTAAACACGGTGGGGAACCGGTTGTTCTACGCCGCGTTGCCCATGTTGCTCTGGATATTCGGGCCGGTTCTGGTTTTCCTCTGCTCTATAACTTTGGTTCCGGTGCTTTATAATCTTGACATTGTGTTTGTGGCTGATGCGAAGAGAAAGTTGGGGCTTCATGATGATCGTGTGAGAGGGAATTCGGACTTAGAGTTGTGAAAATTTGATATTCTAAAATTTTACCATTGATCCGTGCGTAACAAGTGAAAATTATTGGGTATAACTGATGTAATAACTAGTAACACGTTTCCGGCACGTATCCAAGTCCAAAAAAAAGAGAAAAAAAAAATTGTACTCTCTGTGTTTCTGTATGGAAGGAGTGGGTCGGTTGGTTTGAGATGGAAATCCACCACATTAAAGCTTTGCTTCTTTAATTTGATTAGTTAGTTCATCATGCATGGTCGTTTATTGATGTTAATCCAAATATTATTTGTCAAATATATATATATATATATATATATATATATGAGCACAAAAAACGCGAGTGAAGGGGCATGAATTAATTACTTTTGTGTGTGAGCTTTTAATTTGTGCGAATTAGGCGAATTACTACAAAAAAAAAAAAATAATAATAATAATTGTGGTTGTTGGGATTAGGCCAAGGCTCTTTGCTCATTTGTTAATCAATCTCAGTGCCGACCAACCAACATTTGATGAATTAAAACATGACCTGATGATAATTGGTAGCCGAAAGTGTCACCGATTAACTAATTTTATAACTTTGTTTTTTTTATATAATAAAGTGTCACGTTTAAATATTCATCTGAGAATTCCGTCGCCCAAATACTATATGCAAGTGGATGCTCCAGTTTATGAGAGTTCCCAGTTTTGTCTTCCTCAAGTTTGCATCCTACTTTTGTTTGTCATACAATTTTTACATGTACAAAAGCAAGAAAAAGATAATACCCTTATCGATCTCTCACAATGTATAATTACAGTTTTAGAATAGAGCTAGTATTAAGTTTAAGTACGTATAAATCAAATACATACATTTTTTCTTTGGGGGGGTTGGGGGGTGGGGTGAGGCTGCTGCATTGCATTTCCACAACTAGTCGAATTCGAATTGTGTTCTTTCGCATGGATCTTATATTCTTGTCAAAAAAATATGGTTCTTATTTTTTCGGACTAATGATTTGTACTATATTCTGGACAGGTTATATATGCTGATTAACCGACTTGGTAGATCACTCATGAACTTTGAAATGGCTGGCTTTTCGAACTTTCGTAGCTGTTTTGTCCGGTTGGTGGATAACTCAGCTCTTCCTGCACAAATCATACAAAAGTTTTGCATGTCAATCCACGGAAACATAACTACATTCACAAGATTATATGCATCTTTCTTCTTCGCCTCGATGTTCATGTCACCAATGAACCTAATATTGCTATGAAACAAATGTCCTCTTTCTCATAAGAATTAAAAGAGAACTTACTTGAGAAACTTGGCTTTGGACAGGCGAGTGACCTCCGTGATACAGAAGTAGGTAAGAAAGTTTTTCTTCCCCAAGTGCTCTTAATCTCTCTAACTCAGGCAGTACAACCTTGCCGAGATCCGGTCTGTCTTTCCTTCGCAGTTCAGCACACTTGAGCGCTAGTTTCGCGAAGCTCAATGCTTCCTCAACTGGCCAATCCTTAACATTTTGATCAAGCACCTCGGTGAAGGTGCCCTTTTCGATTGCCCTCTCGACGTGGTGGGTTAAACCCATTGGTGGCTTTCCTGTTAACAACTGCAAGAATATGATCCCCAGAGAATACACGTCGGATTTCACACCCAGCATGCCCGTTTGCTGATATTCAGGATCTATGTAACAGAAAGTCCCGGCAGTTGATGTCATACGGTACTGAGTGACACTATCTGCTAAGGACGGTGGAACCAGCCTGGCCAAACCAACATCACTTATCTTACTAACAAAATTTCGATCAAGAAGGATGTTCGCAGGTTTGAGATCACGATGAACTAGTGGCTCCGGCTTGGTTTGGTGAAGAAAAAGGAGGCCAGTCCCGATTTCAGCTGCAATTCTGAACCTATGTGGCCATGGAAGTGCAGGTGTGTTGCCACGCCGGAACAAACGGTCTTCTAAACTTCCATTCGACATGTACTCGTAAACTAAGCAACCATATTCAGGACAAGCTCCCATAAGAAGTACCATGTTTGGATGTCGTATGCAGCTTAATACTTCGACCTAGGATCACGTAATGAGAGAGAATAAGTTTGAAAATTATATTTTTTTATATTTATTTTACACATGTTATTAAGTGTAATCATCAAACACATTATCACTTTAATAACATCACATACCTCTTGTTGAAACTGTGATCTTCCATGCGCAGCATCTGGACGGAGGACTTTGACTGCCACAGGAGTGTGATCCAGGTAGCACTTATAGACCGGACCGTATCCTCCTTCTCCAATCTTACGGCTCTTATTGAAATACTCCGTTGCAACTTCAATTTCGTCAATTGTATACACCCTATATCTAACTTCTGGTTTTACTGGTCCATTAACTACTTTGTTCTTCTCTTCTAATTCTTTAAGCGCTTTCAATTCAGCATTTCTTCTCTTTTGAGCCTCGAGTTCCGCAATCCTCTGAGCTGCCTCGGCATGTTCTAGAGCTGCCCTAGACTTGGCCTTCTCTCTTTCAACAAGTGCTAGTGCAGCTTCTTCAGCTAGTCGTGCCTCCTCTAGCCTTTGTTGCTCTTCCATCTTCCAACGGTGAAGCTCTAGTGCCTAATGTTTAGCAAAAGAGTGATCAAGCAGCAAGTCATGATGATGCTGAGATTATAATACTTTAGTTTCTCTTACCTTCTGTTTTGCTGTGAGTGCTTCCTTGCAAGCTGTACTATACATTTCCATTGTTTGCTTGAGCTCCAACTTTAGTCTTTTCATTTCTGCTTCCGTGTCATCCTGTACATGACAGTTGCTTATGGTATTAGAAACAAAAAAGTATCGACATGTACCAGGGAGACTTGAGGATTCCAGCTGAACCTCTTAATAAATATGCAAGTCAGACATAAGCCAGGTTCATCCACGGACACCATCCTTGTAGCTATCAGCAATGTGACAGCATCCGATTGGGGGGCCATTTCCTTGTTTACTACTTAGGTCAGAGAAATAATGTTTCTTCCCTTTTTTACTTTTTTACTATCTTTGCATTGCTCATGGTAGGATACATTTCCAAATCTTCTGGTTTATGTTTGCCTTTGAATTCTAGCTCATGATATCCTTGGGGGGCCGAACTCCTGCTTAACTGGACAGACAAGTATGGCATCTTCTATACAGGGAACCAGAAGCAACATCCTATGGGCTCTAAACTCTTTAGCTTAAAATAAAATGCTTCAACACACTACTAATAAGCTTTCAGTTATGTACTTACGCTACATACGTCCAAAGTTCCAGTAAAATAACCACAAGTCAAGTGGCTCGCTCTTGCATTGTCAATTTAGTAGAAAGTCAACAACTTAATTCCGCTAATTGATAGAACTTCAAACATCTACTTTCTTATTGACGAACAAAATGGAAATATGATGTGTGTATGTATATAAATATAAATCATGCACTGTGGAAAATATGTGATGTTACACCATGGAAATCAAGTGATGTTACAGACAGAAGGACTGATTAGTTACCGCTGCTTGTAATGAAGACAATGAATCACTGTCTGAGAGCGATGAGAGTTCTAGAGAAGAAGTGACATCCATTGATCTGCGGCCAAAGTGATATGATTCGTAACTTTGATTCTCCATATCTGAAAAGCCTGAAAGACGAGGAGGGGTTGTGCTGCTTTGGAAGCTATCAGCAAAGGATGGAAACATATTGTCGATACTGGGTCTACCCGAACTAACAAAGGATATGTCTGTATCAGGAGGAGGCAGCTCATACGGTTTACCATTTGGTCCATTCCTATGACTGAAAGGTGACCTGTGTAGCATGATATATAACTTATGACTGAAAGTTTATACATTATAAGAGATGCAATCTCTTAAACTAAATTAGACATAATGCAGGAATTCTAACATCAAGCTTGACTAGAATTACCGTCAGTTCTTTCCTTTGCACGTAAAAAGAATATAAAGCTATTGGAAGTATAATTGATGAAGTAATGAACTGATCTATTATTTTGTATAACTTACTTCATTGAGGAAGGATCATTATGAGTGCCATGCAAATGTGGATCAGATGATGATCTCGTGGCTGGGGGTAGCGGATCTATTGGGCAGAAAAAGAAAAAAAAAAACACAAACAGAAGATAATGAGCTTCACGGAGCGCCACAGGACAAAAACAAAAATGGTAACGAGAGGTTCTGATGTGTAACTAACTTCTTGAATTGGTCAGTAATGCATCAGATGCACTAGACCTGTTGCTCGCTTGATGAAGTATCTGCTGACGAATTGGGTGATTCGCGGGTGCTGCGCGAGAAGCAGATCTTGTAGACGATATCTTTCCCTTGGAGATAATATATACAGTACAAAAGTCTGGAACTCCCTTTAACACACTTGCAGGAATATCTCTTGCTTTATATCTGGCCATAATGTTATGAATATAAGATAACTGTCGAAGCATTTCTTGTTCCTTATTTCAGGTTTCTTTAAATCTCAGAAGCAATACGGAAAACAATTATCTTGGAATTAGGTTCGTACTACTATCATCTGTAACATTATGAATATAACAATTGTCTTGTTCCTTATTTCTGGTTTCTTGTAATTTTTATCTTCTTTTTTTTCCTTTGTATTTTTGCAGGTTTTTTTGCCCTTAATTTTCTTTGATCGTCCTATCTCCTTTGCCAAGATAAATAAATCTACCAGTGACTGCATCAAAAAGAGAATTGTGTGCTGTTATGTGGGAGAATCTGGTTAAAAATGATTTCCACAAGTTGTTACTAGCTAGGGCAATAGATTATGCATTTCAAATGCAAGGAAATCGGTAAACTTTTTCTCTTAACCATACGAACTTAAAATACTGCTTCGGAGTCTGATCATAGGGTTTGTTTTCAAAATTTTTAAGTTACTGAGAACCATTTTCAGGATAAATCTCCATTTCTCAATGAGGTATGAAGAGAATTTATTAGACTTTCTAAAGAAGCATTGCAATTGGTATAACTGATCATCATGCTCATCAATTTGTGAGTTAGATAATGAATAAAAAGGTTCACTTAGTAAGTAATCATCAACGCAAGATCAATGAATAATATAACATAAAACTCTCCTCAGTGGGATTATGCCCTAAAAATATGTTCAGATTGAAAATTAACTTTCCATGTCTTGTACAACTTATCTGTAAGAGGTGTAAAAATTTTGAAAAAGTAGATTTCAGCTATAGAGATGCATCTGAGCAAATCATTAGTATAAGGAAAGCAGTCAGCTTGCTTTGATCCCCGGAAGAAGTTCCATCAAGGAGCAATGGATGAATAAGTTAAATGGATGAACAATGCTTTGATTACAGAGAAACAGGTTAGAAACTGATGACAAAATCCCCAGTCACTGGTCTCAGACATGTTTATTGTTTGTTTTGCTGTCTTTCAAAGATGTCAAACTCTTTCAAGAGAGAAAGAAGGCGGCATACCTGAAAATACTTCCTTTTGCTGCGGCACCAAGCACCAAAACTTCAATTCCTGATCTGCTAACATATTCAAGTAATGCTTTGACTATATCCATGTCTTCGAGCACAACATCTTGGCAATGTATCTGAAAGATTGTTAGTTAAGTTCTATTAATACGTAACGTCTTGTCACATTTCAGAAAAGGTATTGCATGTAACTCTCTGTTCATAAAAATCCTACTGCTGTTGGCCTATTTTATGCGACAGTAGTTACCTCTTTATCATAAGCGAAAACACGGTACAAATTAACTTACATCTTTACGCGTACAGAACACACGGAAAGGAAGGAAAAGCTCCCTTGTTTCTGCATCAATTTCTGCACCACCATTTTCATCAGTGACATCGATCACCTGGCTAGACCCTGCACCAAAGATAGGGCCATACATAATCCTCGGTTAGTTTTGATCAAGACTACACTTATATCGACCTTACTATCTGCTGTTATACATTACGATTTAATACATTCAACGAAATCATATTCAACTTTTGGGCATGAAACCTAGGTGGTGTTGAAAGATAATATCACAAGATGTTCCATGTCATGAACAAACTAGGTGGAGTTTAGTACTCCAAATTCTGTTACTAACTACCGCATGACCTACAGGGAAATGACCTTTCTCAAGTTCCTGAGATGAACGGGTTAGAATGTCACACTGTAATACACTTCACAATGATATGCATTATGTCTTCTACAATAACATTTGCCTCTTCACGGCTTGCGGGTCAAACACAAAAGTATATAACTAAAGTTCTCTGAGTTCCTATTGTCCCACAAAACCAAAGAAATTGTTAAAAACAATTTAAGTGCAATGCAGGGTATTGTTGAATTGTTGTATGCTTTGTCCAACAATTAGACCCTAACTTGCGTAGCCTAGTAATTAGACAACTTCAAGTTTTATATGGAATTGTGAGAATTTCATGTTGATACGTTAAATTGCTACATTATAGCATTGAAATCTATGCTTGGTAAACTGAAACAGAAAAACATGTTCCGAAATTTAACTGGGTATACAGTTCAAAAATTTCAGGGAAAGCCAACAGAGAGTTCCAGGCTGTTTGGTTCAATCCCTAATTGTTCTATGAAATTAGTTGGGACAGAACAAAATGTTGAGTTCTAGGGCTCATATGCTTGATCATTCCATTATTTCTTTGAAATTAGGCTGCATGATTGTTAATTACAAGCTGTCAGAAACCCTCCAAAAAAGAGGTAACTTTTCAAGCCATGACTAACCACCATTTAAAAATGCACAATCACTACCAGAAGCTTCAAAAACATAGAAAAATTCAAGAAGAAAAGTAATTTTGTTATATAGCTTTGAGAATCTGCAATTATGAAGATTAGATAAACAGAAAGGGAGAGGATGATTACTTGAAAGAGCAAGAGAGGAGGAGGATGAGTAAGGGGATCCATGATGCTTGGTTTTGACATGAACCAAAAGTATGGTTTGGCCTCTAACCAGAAGATTATCAACAGTCCATTTCAGAGCATTCTGGCTTGATCTGTCCTTATCAATCGCTACTGCGATCAGTTTGTTCATTGGATTAATCATAGTTTCACCAAAATCTCAATCTCAATCAATGCATTTCTTTCTCCTCCTTCTTCCTATACCCAATTCCATGCAACCACCAAATTATCAAATTCTCTTTGAAGAAATACTGATAACATGTTCAAATTTTTTTTATAAAAAAAAATAAAAATAAAAATCTCCCTCTCAGCAACATCAACAATTTGTTTCAAGAGAACCCAGAAAAACAGAAGAAAGAATTTTGTGTGTGTTGTTATTATGTCTTCAATCAAGCTTTGTTGATTCAACATTGAGAGCAGAATTTGTTGGGGCCTCCATCCACTCAGTTTCTAAAGGAAGATCCATGTTTAACGGATTTATTATTAGGACTTGTTAGATTACTCTATCTTATGACATGTGTCTTTGCATGACTATTAATAGAACAACAAGGGCCTAACTCACATAGACATCAATTTTGATAAAAGGAAACATTTTGTTATGGTTATGTCTATACGGTAGTTAGGGCTGTTGATTAATCGGGTAGACCCGAGGAAACGTCTGACCCAAAATTAATTCAGTCAAAACGGGTCGGCTAATTGACTTAATAAGTAAAATTTCAGTCTAACCCGATTAATCGATTAGCTTAGACGGTTCGGATCGGTTTTCATGTATGTTTTTCAGGGATACCCAATTAACTGGAATTATTTAATTTATTAAATATATATACCCTCCTCTCCTCCCTTCTTTCTTTTTTCAGATTTACCAACCCCCTTCCCCTCCCTTCTTTCTCCTCCCAACGCTACCCCCACTTCCCCCTTCCCCAGCCGCCCTCTTCTCCTCCCTTCTACCTTTCTTCCTTCTCTTCTCCCTTTTTTCAGATCTACCATAGCCCCGACGCCACCCTCCTTCCCCTACTTTCTTTCTCCCCCCGCCGCCAGAACAATTGCTCATTTCTTTCTTCTCCAATCTCCATCTTCTATTTTCAGATCTGACCTGTTTTGGATTTTTTTTTCTTTTTCTTAGAATTTTGTAAGGATAAACTTCTTCAAATTTTGAAATATTTGTTTTTCGGAAGATAGAAGTGATGTTTATGAATTATGATAGTTAATTTTTTATTTTTTTCTCTGAAATTCTAATTTTGAGGTTTTTTTTTGGACCACAATGAATATTGAATGCTGTTAGTGTGTCATTGTTGTGTTGGTTCGGGTGAACCGAAGCCCGAACTGACAAACCCGATTGTTTAATCGATCAGTTCGGTACAATTGATTTTTCAGTTCGGTTTCGGTCTGGTCTTCTGTAAGAAAAAAAAAATCTGATCCGAACCGAACTCATCTGAACCGAACTAACCGACTGAATTAGCAGCCCTAACGGTAGTATGGCGGGAAATAAAATTGCTCTATCAAAACAATGTAACTTCTTTTATAGTCATAAAGTTTGAACCAAATTTTGCTTGAAACAACTCCAAACTTCTTACCTAGAGGTCCTAACTTCTTTAGAAAGTAGACATGGTAGAGATTCGGCGGCAGGAGCGGAGCTAAGGCCAAAGGTCATGTGGGGGCAAAAAAGGCCTATTATATATAGATAAAGCAATTTGATTAATTAATTCTTAATTTTTAACTAAATATAAATATGATATAGAAGTTAAGTTGCATATGTTCAAAATGATAATTAAAAATTATCAATTACATTATAATCTAAGAGTGAGCCTTGCCTCTCTCTTTTTTTTTTCTAGATTTTAGTGAAAAAAAAATTTTCTAATTTCTAGATTCTAGTGAAAGATAACGATAAGAGTTCTAAGAATTTTAATTATTACGGTATTTTAAAGGTTAGTTTTCTAAGAAATTAGGAAATGATTAATTATATTTGCTTCTTTGCAAAATCATTTAAATTTTGGGAGTTTAAAAGGAGTAAATCACTATTTATTACGCTTTTTTTCCTAAGAAAATAGTCGACATCAAGTTTTGAGATTTATTTGTCACAAAAAAAAATAGTATATTCTGAGTTTTGAAATTTATATTTACATTAAGTTTTGAGGTTTGTAATTGTATTTAGATCGATTTTTGAAATTATGGAATCTTATTAATGTATTGTGAAAATCATAATTCTAATTCTTCCTCTTTTCTCTTCTAACTAGTGTGGAATCAGAGTTTTGGTTATGCAGGGATCAAACATCATCAAGAAATTTTTGAACAATACTTTAACGTTGGAAGAGAAAAAATTGAAATAGAATTTTCATTAGGAAAAAACTCTCATATAGCTCTTCTATCAAAGTTTTTTTTTTTCCTTAGAAATACATAAGTAGTGCCTTTTCTGCACGTTGTGCTGGTTGTATTAGTTTTTTTTTTCGTTTGAGAATGTTAGTTTATAAATTATTGTACATATATATATATATGTATATATATTAAAAATGGCTATTTTAAAACTATTTTCTAAAGACGCATATTGTTAGTCCATTTGTCATTTTGCTATTTATTTGGAGGGTTTTTTTCACATGTCAAATCCTCATCAATAAGTAAAATCATAAATAATAATTCACATTCACTAATTACTAATTGGTTTAATAATCATATTACTCTCTTGGATCTTTAATATAAGGTATTTTGATTTGTGCTAAATTTCACCGATTTTAATTTTTTAATTGAAGAAAAAACTTTCAAAATATTTCCTAATAATGAGAAGAACACAAACGACTTTGAAAAATATATTTTTAAGGTTTATTTCTAATTAAAAAATATATATTAGGTTAAATATAGGACAAAATCAAAATACCTTACATCATGGACTTGCATGAGTAATTCATTTCATAAATGTATCACATTCTTTGACCAAATTTACCTTATCATATTTAAAGGAGTTGCCACTAAAGACAAGTGGCAGCTTCTCATCAAATATTGTTTTTTTTTTTTTGTGATTATCCAAAAAAATAATATAAATAAAGTTTTAGATACAACAATTCTATTTAATACTTAATTAAATATTGAATTCAAGCTATCTAGATTCGTTATTCATTTAGATCCTTAAAATCACTAAAAATTTTATCTCTCAAATTACTCAAACTTAATTAACATAATTAAATTAAAAAAAAGTCAACATATCAATCCAAATACAAAGAACTTGTGTTCCAAAACTCAATTATGGTAAACTAATTGTTTTAACCGTCCAAATTATGAGCTATTTCTTAAAACAATGCCCAAGCAAGCTGTGACACTGGTGAATATTTAAAATTGGAACCATTCAAAATAATTGTTTTTTTTTGTTAAATACAATAAGAAACTGACTAACGCTAGGAATAAATTTACAAATGAACAAACTTACATAAGAAAATAAATTAATAAGATAAAATTGATGAACAAAGTAAAGAACTAACTAAAACATGAATGGAAGAAATGTATAAATGAAGAAACTTCCAGAAGAAATGAGCCAATAAAATTATGTCTTGCTACTGAGCGCCCTAATTTTTTCTTTTGAGTGCCTTCTGAAAGACGTTTACGCCCCTGCAAGCAATGGAGGTACGTTTTTTTTTCAAAAGAAAAAACGGGGACGGGAGGAGCGAGGGAGCGGCTGGCGCATGAGAAACACGCCACCCCTTTGCAGGGTGGCGTGTAATAATCTCGCCTCCCCTTACAGGGAGGCGAGAAAAACTTCGCCTCTAGCGAAGGGGGTCGGGCGCCACCTCTGCTCGGTGTGGCGAGCAAAACCCTCGCCACCCACCGATAATGGGTGCCACCCATTTTTTATTTATTTAATTAATTTTTTAATGTATTTAATTTATTTATTTTTATTTTTTTAATTTATTAGTTTAACTAATTTTTTAATTAATTTAATTCATGTATTTAGTTTAGTATTTGTTTTGTAGTTTAATATTTGTTTAGGAAATTTTAAGTTAATAGTTAGGATTTATGGTATTGGTAAATAAATAATGTTTAACTCAAATATTTAGAGAATATTTTTTAATTACGTATTATGCTCATAAGTTTTAGTTGTTATATTAAATAGGATTTTTTTTGTTAATTATGTGTTTAACTTATGTTATTTACGTAGTGTGTTCATATGAAATAATTTTTTTTTAAATATGTGTTTAGTTTGTTGTTAGTTTAGAAAGAATTGGTTAATTAGGTAGTATGTTCATATTATAGTTGTTATAGTAAAATGGTAATTTCTTGTTAATAATGTATTTAGTTTTTTATTAGTATATATTATCTTAATTAATTATCTTTAAAGTATAACACCATTATATCGAATTATATATTATGTTTTTGTTTATAATGAATTATTTTTGGTTTAATATTATTATAATTTCGTTTTGATATATTTCATTTTTAATTATAATTAATGAATTATATATTTGTGTTTATAATTATTTCATTATAATAATTTGTGTTTATAATGAATTATATGTTATGATATATTTCATTTTTAATGTGTGCAGGATTGGTTTGATCAGGGGGATGTCATTGATTATAGTTCAAATTTTGCTACAAACGAGACTTTTGCCGAAAAGCCTCAAGCTATTGCATGTGCGAAGGGTATTGCAAATATGTACAACATGGAGTTAAGTATGTACTTGCACAAGACTAGTGGTACTATACTCCTTTGTCATATAGGAGATCGGTACCAAGGTCAACAGGTGGATGAAAATATGCGCGCCCGACCCAATACGAAGACACAGATTACCGAATACCAGTTTCGGATTACTGTCTACAAAATATGTGGTAGGTGGGCGATCCGTGTATATCCTGGTCCGTGGGAAATGCACAACCATTCATTGAAAGATCGCCTCGGGTTAGGAGGGACTGAGCGCAGAAGTGAGAGAGCTTATTGAGTTATATTCTAAAGCTGGGACTAAAGCAATTCACATTTTACAGGCAATATGGACACAATTTTCTGATGAAAATGTTACCTCCAGACAAGTTTATAACTACATAAATAAATTGTGTAAGGATGGGTTTCTAATTCTGGATGACATGGATTCCATGGACATCGTGGGAAAGGTTTTAGAGGTCGCAGAACAACACAAATATATCATCTTCACGGATTGCAATGAAGAGACATTGGAGTTATCCCGCGTGTTTATTGCACATTCAGATTCTTTGTTACTATTGCGCACGTATCGTTGGGTGTTTGCGTAGACTCCACATGCAATACAAACAAATATAGAATGCCTCTTGTGGAGTTTGGTGGAATGACCCCTTGCAATCAGACATTCCTTATAGCATATGCTCTTCTGCATGATGAGACGGGGGACAGCTACCATTGGACGATGTGGCAGCTCCGTAACTTGTACGGTGATGATCTGCATCCGAGTGTCATCGTGACTGATCGGGAGCTTGGACTGATGAGGCCTCTTGATGATGTATTT